AGTCTTTGATAATCACGCAGAGATGCGGGTTTTGCATGTTTTTATCTTTTGTTCAGATATTAGTCGAGTTTATGCTACAATACGTTGTGAGTATAAATCTTCAGACTAGTGGAACCAGATATCTTTTTATCTAGTAGCTAAATCGGCAGGTTTAAGATTGATAAATTTGGACGCTTTGTGGGCACTCTGTGGGCACATTATATAAGAATTCACTTTCGAGAAAAAGGAGTTCTTAAAGAAATCACATGGGTTTCTGACCAAGTCGTTCCTACATTATTCTTAAGCAAAGCTTACACTCATACCCAATTTTTAATATTAAAGGTTTATTTCATATTTTAACGTTTTACACCAATCAAAACTCAAATATTTTCTCAACCCAAAACATTGTTCAAGAAGTTCATGAAAGTCTCTGATTCTCAGTAAGTCCGGTTCCTGTGGAAACGATCTTGGTACTATACCACTTTATTACTTGAAGCGATCTTAGTGTCGGYGTGCAMTTGCACCGCCACTTTGGGGATTTTATGCCCACTGTGTGCACACTTACGATYYTAGCACATCAAGTTTTTGGCGCCGCTGCCGGGGACTGGAACGATTTTTATCCTGAGATATTGATTTTTATTTGAGCCTTGGTCAGTTGTTTCATTCGCTGTTCCTGTGTTGTATGCCACGGATACAACACGGTGATCTTTTACCTCTTGATCTTGAGTTAGAAAGAACAATTAGGAGACGAAGAAGAGGTAGAAATAATCGGCGAAATCCCAACCGTACCATGAGGGATAATCCACCTCCTCGGGAAGCCACGGTTAATATTGCCGATGACAAAAATAGAGGCATACGGGACTACGTAACTCCCGAATTTGGTCAATTGGCCTCGGGAATTGGTAGGCCCGAAATGRYRGCAACATCTTTTGAACCCAAGCCGGTTATGTTTCAAATGATTTCCGCTATGGGTCAGTTTGGGGGATTATCTTCGGAAGATCCGCACTCTCATTTGAAATYTTTTATTGAAATGACGGATCATTTTAAAATTCCGGGAGTTACTCAAGAGGCCTTACGCTTGACGCTTTTCCTTTATACATTGAAGGATAGAGCTAGAGCATGGCTAAATT